GACATGGGCTGGAATTGTCGACAAAACCCATATTGAACGATTCAAAGTCAATGAAGGAGTTAAACTGGACAATGTTAACAATTACGATTTTATGGACAGGACATTTTTTTAAATAGTACAAGTCACAGCCTCGCAGTTTCAAAGTGAAGTGTGTATTTTTGCACGACATCACTCCTTCTCATGTATCTAAGGTTACCCGTTAATTTGATGAGCGGAAAAGGTTTACAGGAGAGAAGATAATAGAATGGTCACCATAAAGTCCCGATTTGAATCCGATCGAAGGTCAGTTGGAAAGATGAAATTATATGAAAGGTGAGACATAATATGACATTAAAAGAGAACCTATGGAAAGCAATTAAAACCAAAAATGTCGGAAATTGAACCTGCTGATGTAAAAAAAAAATAAATTAAAAAATAACAAAATCAATGGACAATAGATTGCTGGCTGTTATTTGGAAAAAAGGTCACTATATTTAGATTTAAATTCTTCAAATACTTATCATATATTTATTATTTGTTCTGTCATAGGTGGTAACCAGTTGCTGATTTTAATACATTGTTACTGAAGTAATTTATGGTTTTGCTTAACTTCAGGCTACAGTTTTTATAATAGATCCAATAACTTTAATAAAATATGTTGAAATTACCTAAAAATTTAATTCAAACTTAATTTTGACGTCTAAATTAATCGTTTAAAATTTGACAAAAATGTTTCATAGCAAATTCGAGATATTGAGGTTTATGTGATTTGAATAACTTCAAACAGACTCTAAATACATCATTGGTTTTGGTTGAAAAACTAATTTGGAATTTTTCTTTTACTTCATGATGAATCATTGTTTAAAAGATTTTTGTCAAATATTCCAAAATTATCAATATTGTTCCTGTATAATCGTAGTGCTTTAAAAAATTATCAATATTGTTCTTGTAAAATCATAGTGCTTTAAAAAATCATCAATATTGTTCTTGTAAAATTGTAGTGCTTTAAAAAATCATCAATATTGTTCTTGTAAAATGGCAGTGCTTTAAAAAAATATCAATATTGTTCTTATAAAACCGTAGTGCTTTAAAAAGTCAATATTGTTCTTGTAAAATCGTAGCGCTTTAAAAAAAGTCAATATTGTTCTTGTAAAATCGTAGTGCTTTAAAAAAATGTTAAAATTAGTTTTGCTCAAAACACGCCGAACATATCCTCGGCGTATTTTTTCTTTTTCAAACGAAAGAAGGAAAACAGGTTAAATGATTTTGTTAGAATTGTTAATTGCAAACAGAATGTCTATTGCTTTACAAACATAAAAACAAAAGCAAATTTAGTTGGAAGAAAATCATGAGAAATTCATTTTCAAAAATCAGTAAAATTTGTGACAACCAAAGGCACTCAAAAGCACAACTATGACATGAAATGATGAAATATGTTTGTATTAAATTTTATTTCCCTTCACACACACACACACCCACAGAGAGAGAGAGAGAGAGAAAGAGAGAGAGAGATACACATAGGTAGGTATTAGCTTATAACTGAACTTAAATTAGTCTGGCACAGGGTCATGATAGAAGCGTGCCTAAATTTTCCCAGCGTTCTCTTTTTAACCTTTCACATTCTGCATTATTAATATGATGTCCCTTTCCATTGCTTTCTTTTTCAAGGCTTCTCAATTGCAGTAACTTCATTGTTAATTTTTCTCCAAGGTGTTTTCTGTTACGACAATGTAACTATGAAATTCGAACAAATTTTAATTCAGGAATCAGAGTCAACTTCAGTGCAGGATAAATTTTTTGTGCATTAAATGAAGTCACATACAGAATATGATAACGGGTTGATAAGCTAATGATTATTTTGTATATTTTATTTTATGACAGAAAATTCCGGAAACTTTTTCACACAGCAAATAATCCAAAAATATATACGAATTTAATTAATTAATTCAAATAGTGTTAAATCATACGTCACATATTTCACTTTATATTACACCTCCTAGAATTTCTATATAAACTAGTAAAAACTTATATATGAGTTAAAGATCAAATTCAGATCAAAAGGAGACAGAATCTTTCTTTAGTATCGGCTTATCAATATAGGCCGGTTGTTATTAATGCCACTGTTTAAGAAAATAAAAACAGGCATAGCAACTCAAATACGTGTACCCACTAAAATAAGGGTTATTATAAGAAATACCTACGTATATACATTAATCTTAGTCCTCCTTCTCACTCCTCCACACAAACACATTATATATATTATATATATATATATATATATATATATATATATATATATATATATATATATATATATATACAGGGTGTCCCAAAATAATGTATACACTCTTTAAATATTAATAGTTAATAATACATTATCGTGATGTGAGAACTTATATGGATGAAAATGTGCAATATGATTGGAAGAAGAGAGACAGTTGAATGCCCACCTAGATCACCAGATTTGACACCTTTGGAATTTTTTTTTTTTTGTGGGAGTTTCTAAAAGACAAAGTTTACAGCAGGAATCCTGAAAATATTGCTAAACTGAGAGTAGCAGTTGAAGAAGAATGTGCTTAAATACCAGAGGAAATGATACTGGACTTTTGTAGGTCTATTTCTTCAAGATATGAAAAGTGTATTGAACAGAACGGCAACCAGGTTGAACATTTGATGTGAACTCATTATTATATGAACATTCTGCCATTGCCCCAAGTAGCTTTTTATCTTATTAAGTTTTTTTTTCTATGTTTTTTTGTATATTTTACTCTCAAATTCTTTAAATGTGTATTCTTTCTCTTGTATTAATCTTATTTACAAGTCTAAATACATAAATTGAATAAGTTATAACAATTCAAAGAGTGTATACATTATTTTGGGACACCCTATATATATATATATATATATATATATATATTATTAATATTTATTCGAAAATTATAGCATAAGTATGCTATAAAATTACTACAAAAATAGCCATTTTGTTTCAACACTTCTGGTATCTTATCAAGTGATGGTGTTGAAGACACCAGAAGTGTTGAAACAAAATGGCTATTTTTGTATTGATTTTATAACAAGTTTATGTTATAATTTACAAATAAATAATTATATTAGCTCTACTCTGTATTGAGCACTCTCTTAAGAATAGTATTTATTGGTTATTGGAATTTATTCCGTATACACGAATCCTATACTTGAGTATATATATATATATATATATATATATATTCATGAATGTGATATATATGAATTTCAATGACGAAGCTACAAAGAAAATGAAGCAATTTTGTTGAAAACTAAAAAAAGACAGTGCGTGATAAAACTACAACTGCGGTAAACAAAGAAAGCTTGGCCAAAGGCACACATCGGTGTGGAGGTGGGGGGGGGCAAACAGAAGAAGGCTCAAAGACACACACGGAGGGCAAGGGGTGGAGAGTAGGCCGAGACACGAGGCAAACAACAAAGATGGCCGACAAGTGTGAGATCACGTGACAACATAATTACAGAAATATTCACTGGATTCTGCAGAAGGTATATATCTTTTTAAAGGGTTTGATGTGGGCTTCGCACGACCTGTCCACTCCCACGCACGCCCT